AAAAAAAAAAAAAATGAATAATTTAGTAGATAGGAATAGATAAATCTGTGCAGAATAATGACAGATAATTTACATACATGTCCACCCTCCAGGAGCTGGAGCCTAACCCCACCCCTCAGGTGTGGGCGGGGCACAGTGACTTCTCCTACAGAGTGTGGCACGGAGCAGGGGGAGGAGATGGCACCTCACAGAAGCCTGGCAGCCATGACCTCAGCTAGGTCATGAAGGCCGGTGGCAACAGGGCAGAGTTACGCTGTGCAGAGCAGGAGGCAGGCCCAGATCAGCCTAAGGGGAACCCCTCCTCTGACTGCAGTGGCTGGCTTGGGGCCAGCTGCCTTCGCCCACTTGTTTCTGTTGGTTTTCTGACTGGCAGGCAGAGAGCCCAGGCCATGGCCGCCCCAGCCTTGCTGCTAGCCAGAGGGCAGATGCTGCCCGCTCTCCTCCAACTCCCCACACGCCTTCCCTGCACCTCTACTCAGGCCAGTACAGGCACAGCAGCTTCCCAGCCCACACAATGCTCCGAAGGGCCCCTGGCACCTCTCTGCCACTCACACACACAGCCACGTCCCCCCAGACACGCTCAGCCCCCAGCCAAACAGCGTGAGCCCCCAACAGGCCCAGGGGCCTGCTCACCGGCCAAGTGTGGGAGCTGAGTGGGCGCTGGCTCCTAGCGTTGTGTTCTGTGGTCCTCATGGTTCTCTTTGCTCCCCAGTGACACAGCACATAAAAGAGCTCCTGGAAAGAAACACTAAGAAGAAGTCCAAATTGAGAAAGAAACCCAAGCCTTATGTTGAAGAGCCGGATGGTAGGGCCTCTCCCCGCAGCCCCTGGGCGCTGCGTCTGCACAGCTCTGCTCTCCAGCCTCGGCCACCTGGCCTTCTCTTCTCTAACCGCTTCTGGGCGGGGGGGATGGGGCCACTAACCTCAGGCCTGTGGCCTCCTGAGTGAGCTGGAGGGCCCAGGTGACTGACTGGACCCCTGGAGAGGTCAAGCCTGTCCACACCTGTCTTGGTGCTGCCCAGAGTCATTTCCAACTTGCTTGCTGGGTTCTTGATGGGGTGGGGGCATGAGGACTTGCTGGCCGAGGGCTACTGGAGGTACCCCCAGGTAAGTGAGTGGGCCTGACCCCCACAGGGAAGTTTGCAGGTGGAGAGGTATGTGGTGCCCTGGAGACAAGTACCCCTCAGCCCTGTCTTCCAGCCCAGGGCTGCCCCTGGGCCACAGGAGCCAAACCTGCATTCAGAATCAGCAAGGAGCCATCCCCTGCTTTGATGGTGGGCCCCCAGAAGCTGGGGGAGGGCTTCCCTACCCTCCCCACCAGCACCCTTCCCACCACCCACACTCTCACACAGCTTCCACCTCTCCACCTTCCCCCAGGCCCTGGCTCAGGAAAGCCCTGTAAACCCAGGGCTGTGCCCTTTTGAGAGCTGTGCTGTCAGACTAAGTCAGCTGTGCGCACACGTGCACACACAGGCTTCCAGGACCACCTTCCTTGCTCCTGCAGTGTGGTCCTGCCACACTTGGTGCCTCATGCCCACTCGTCTGTCTAGAGCTCCGCCACCACCTCTCTGCTCCACTTCACTTCCTTTGAGACCACTCAACTTAGGCACCCCTTCCTCCAGGAAGCCATCCCTGACTGCATGCTGCCTATGCAGGCCTAGAACAGTGCCAGCAAGCTTTCTGTGGATGAGGTTTGCTTAGGGCTAACTTCAGGGCCAGCAGGAGGCTACAGGAGCATGAAGGGCCCTCGTGGGGAATGCCAGGATGGCATCTGCTGAGCTGGGGACTTGTCCTCACCCTGGCGCCTCCAAGGCTGCCACCAACAGGTCTGTGCCAGGGTACAGTGACCCAGTCCTGAGTCACCCAGCCTGGTCTCACCCAGGACCCTGGGAGAAGAGGGCCAGCTGCAATGTAGGGGTGAGATTCCTGGTCACAGACATCCTCAGACCACTCCATCTGGGGCAGCGTAGAAGGAGCTCTGCGCTCCTGCCTGAGCTGGTGTCTGGTGGCCTGAGAGCTGGACCGACACCGTTGGCCGTAAAAGTCTCCTGGCTGCAGCCAGGCAGAGCAGGGAGCAGACTCCCCTGTGCCTGGAGTGGAGCCCAGTGGAACATTGCAGCCCAGAGTGTGTCAGGTGGCGAGCAGGGTCAACACCAGGAGGCCCTGGCCACACCTGGCGACCTGGGAGACCTGTGACCTGGTCCTGTAGCTCTAAGGTCCCCAGGGCAGGCCTGGCCACCGAGCAGAGCAGCACAGACCTTAGGAGAGCTGCTGCTGTTGGTCCCTCCATGGGCAGCCATCCCACGTGGGCTTGCCTGCAGCCGGAGGGGGATGGTGATGAGGGCTGAGGTCAGGCAAGGCCAGATCAGGGCAGTGGGCTCAGAGCAGAGCACCCCACACAGGTGAGGGTCTCCCTGGGCTGGCCATGGGCACTGCCCACTCTAACACCACAGGTCAGCAGACACCTTGGTGCCTGGCCCTGTGCCGATGCAGCGTGAGCAGCAGTCATCGCCAGCTTTCTAGACCTTAGGGCACAGGCCGCCTCACCCCGAGTGAAGCTGCAGGTGGGGCAGTGTGGCCTCAGTCCCTGGCCTACCCAGTACACTCGTGACGCCGGCAGCTGCCTGCTGAGCACTGCATGAGACAGGCGTTGTCACGGTCCCCATCCTACAGAGGAGTAAACTGAGGCACAGAGAGATTGCATCATGCTCACCATCAGCTGAGAAGCGGTGGCCCCAGTGTATCCCAGTCGCAGACTGTTGGAGGGTGTCCTGGTCCCAAGCAGGCTGGGGCTGGGTGTTTGTCCCACCAGGGGCCAGGGGACAGGAGATCAGGGCCTGTCTTCCCGCAGGGACAGCAAGCAGGAGGCCAGGCCCTGCCGTCTGCCCCAGGCCCCCTGGCCTAGTGACTCTCTGTCCCAACTGCTGAGCTGAGGCCCTGGGTTTCTGCCGCCTTCCTGGGGCTCTGAAGCCTGGGTCCAGTGTGTGTGGGCACCATCCCTTCTAGAAAAACGAGGGTACCTCATAGCCTGCCCAGACGGTTGGTCCCACACGCTGGAGGCTGGGGCCAGATCCTCTGCCAGGACCTGCGGCCCCAAGGACCATGACAGATTTCCTAGGACCTAAACATCTATGAAAAAAAAATTCATTTTGGTTACTCTAAAAAAGAGTCTTGTTAGCAGTCACATGTCACTCTTCTGTGGCAATTAGAGATGGACTCAAGACGTGTGTGCTTTTTGAACCTGGTCCAAGGACCCCGCGTCCTCAGCTGTCCACTAGAAACTGCTCCTTCAAAGAAGACAAAGACGTTCCGATTGGGGGTCAGGATCCAGAGGCCCCCCTCACCCTGGCAGGCGGTAGGCTCTGGGTGCTGGGGCAGGTCTCATGTCCAGAAGCACAGGGTCCTGTCCAGCTGTCCAAGGTCCATGGCTCCCCTGGTCCCAGACGGCTTCTCTTGGCATGTTCTCTCATCTGCTTCTTCCCGACCTGGAGCAGGAAGGTGCTGCGCCTTCCAGACCCAGCCTGGGAATCCTCTCCCCTCTGGCGCTTTCCCCTGGGCCCTGTGTCTGGAGACTCCCCAGGCTGAGGTCCCTGAGTCCCTCCCCAGGTGCTGACTCAGGCACACTGCCCCTCCCCCCAGGGACCCTGCTGTCAGGGCTGAGTTTTAGAAAGCCCCTCCCTTGGGAAAGACTGGGCCTTCTCATTGCCACCTTAGTCCTTCAGAAGAGCCCAAAGGTGGTACTTCAAGCCCAGGGCTGCAGCAGAGCTGGGCTTGCTATTCAGATGGCTCAGTGTCTGCCTCCCCCAGCACTGGCTGTGGGTGCTGGGTAGGTGGAAATGACTCCTCCAGGGGCTCCTGCCCAGAGCCCAAAAGCCAGGGAGGGGCCTGAAGCAGAGAAGAGTCAAGTACCTGGACAGCTGCCTGGGTCAGGCCCCAGGGAGGGAGCAGTGGGGTCTAGAGGCCCTCGGACCCAGGTCCTTGCCTTCCTGTTCCTGTGGGGCCGTGGGAGGGCGGGTGGAGCTGCCACAGGGGTTCCTCCCCAGCCTGTCCCTCCGCAGGTGGGCAAGTGGTCCTTGGGTCTGTGCTCTAAAGGACACTGCCTGAGTGAGGACCTGCTGCGCTGGGCAGGGGGTGGCTGGGGCCCGGCCAGCCCCGCCCCCCAGGGCCCTTGAAGGACCTGCGTCTGTTCACCCCTCTTCTGGCCCCACACCCACACATCCACACCAGGTTGATCGGGTCCCATTTCTTTCCAGGGGTGGCGATAAGCACATATGCCAAGTACTGTTACCACAAGCTGCAGAAGGCAGCCTTGACCGGGGCCAAGAAGGTACGGGTGCACCTGGGGGACCGGGGAGGGCAGGCGGGGACACAGAGACCCTTGGTGGACAGCCCCAGGAGCCCCGCCTGCAGTTTGGTGTGGGGCAGAAGTGCAGAGGGTGCCACACAGAGCCCACCTAGGTGAGTGGTGGGGTGCGCCAGGCCGACCCCATGTTCTGACCTGTACCCTCCCCCAGGGGCTCTTCCCAGGCCCAGACTCCCAGCTCAGGAGCAAGGCAGGCAAAGGGCTTCAGTCAGACCGCGCCACAGGACCTCATTCCCTGTACCTGTCCCAAGAGCCTGGCCCCTTCCCCACATCCTGTTCTCTCTGATGCACTGCTCCCATCACACCCCTCCCCAGGGCTCTCAGCCCTGCCACAGACTTCTGGAAGTTTCACCCCAGCTCAGCCAGCTTGGCCTGTGCTATGCTCCCTGACAGCCCTGGCCGGCCCAAGGGACACTCCCACCTTCCCAAGGGACCCTGCGAACTGGTGCTGTAGACAGTGACTCCGGCTGGGGAGCTGGGCTTGTCCGTAGCTCTAGTTGGAGCCAGGAGTTCACAGGGATGAGAGGAGGGCAGGCAGAGCCAGGGGCAGCCCAGGAGGAGTTAGGGTTTGGGGGCGAGGAGGGCTGGAAGCAGGACGGCCAGGCCAGACCAGGACAGAGCCTGTCTTCACAGGGGCTGAAGAAGCCCAACGTGGAGGAGATCCGGCACGCCAAGAACGCCGTGTTCAGCCCGTCCATGTTTGGCAGCGCACTGCAGGAGGTCATGGGCATGCAGAGGGAGCGCTACCCTGAGCGCCAGCTGCCTTGGGTGCAGACACGGCTCTCTGAGGAGGTGCTGGCACTCAACGGTGACCAGACAGAGGGCATCTTCAGGTGCCACGGCAACCCCGGGCGCCGGGTGTGGGGGCCACAGCTGTGTGTCCACCATGCATCTTTGGCATGTAGGGGCCATTAAGCCTCAGGCCTGCTGGGCTGCTTCCCCACCCCTACCTGAGAGCAGATGGAAGGCTGGGGCCACGGTGTGGAAGCTGACCCCGAGTGTGTGCAGGCCAGGAAAGAGGACAGGACCCATTCTGTAGAGGAAGCACAGCCAGCCAGGGAGGGCGTCCCGCAGATGGCCACCGGCGGTGGCCAGAGCGTGCTTGGACACCAGCCATGGGCAGCCCAGGGTGTAAGGCTCAGATGACAGGCTCAGATGACAGGCAGCCCTCGTCTGTGAACAGGGATGGCACAGGGTGCCACCCACTCCCGTGACTCACTTGTCAGGGCAAGGGGTACCTAGGCCCCAGGAGGGCAGCTGGGGAAACTGAGGCTTGCAGGTTGAGCCCCAGTGGCCCTTTGGTGAGGGCATCCACACAGGGAACCAGCAGGGGTCCAGGGAGGGACGGTGGCCTGGGGAAACACCACACTCGGACCCAGGTGTGTGGGGCAGGAATCCTGAAGAGTGCCATCCACCCATGTTCGTGGGAAAGAGGCCAACTGGGGTGGCAGGGGGTCCTGAGGTTTTGCTCCCTCCAGGGGTCAGCAGGGGCCGACCAAAGGGAGTGTCCAGGCGGAATCATGAAGCCGCAGCGCAGGCTCCTGTTGCCTGAGACCTGCCCTGTGCCCTGCAGGGTCCCTGGGGACATTGACGAGGTGAATGCTCTGAAGCTGCAGGTGGACCAGTGGAAGGTGCCCACAGGCCTGGAAGACCCCCACGTCCCTGGTGAGTCCTCCACACTGCAGCAAAGCAGGCCTGGCTCAGGCTGTGGCTAAGGGGTCCCTGTCTCCACCTCTGGAGTCCACCCTGATCGTGCCTCCTGCCCAGTGATATGATGGCTTCCCAGTCACTTCCAGCACATCCTCCCTCCTGCCCATTGCACAGTCTCCCCAGGTGTCTGCGGGGCACCCCGAGGCCTGCCTGTGCAATGCAGCCCACTCCAAACCTGCTGCTCTCTGCCCTGTGCCCTTCCGCCATGCCTGCTGTGCAGACACCCCTCAGGGCAGCTGCACAGACTCCTGAGAAAAACCCTTTTTCGCACGTCTCTGCTGGCGTGACCCCCATGCCTCCAGGATCAAGTTCAGGCCCCTAGGAGCTGAAAGGCCCTCTGGGGTGCGGGCCCAGCCGGGTCAGATGGGCCCTGTCCAGAACGGGCCGGCCCTCCCAGCCTGTCACCCACAGCACCCCTCGTGTCCGCCACAGAACCCCACTTGGTCCAGGGGTGCCCGCCGAGCAGGCCCGCTAAGCCCGGTGCTGTGTCCCCAGCATCCCTGCTGAAGCTGTGGTACCGGGAGCTGGAGGAGCCCCTGATCCCGCACGAGTTCTACGAGCAGTGCATCGCGCACTACGACAGCCCCGAGGCGGCGGTGGCCGTGGTGCACGCGCTGCCCCGCATCAACCGCATGGTGCTCTGCTACCTCATCCGCTTCCTGCAGGTACTTCCCTCCGCGGGGGTCCCCGCCGCTTCCCCCTCCCCGCCCCGCCCCCGCCCCTCCGCGCCCACCCTCGCTCCTCCTCCAGGTCTTCGTGCAGCCGGCCAACGTCGCGGTCACCAAGATGGATGTAAGCAACCTGGCCATGGTGATGGCGCCCAACTGCCTGCGCTGCCAGTCCGACGACCCGCGCGTTATCTTCGAGAACACCCGCAAGGAGATGTCCTTCCTGCGCGTGCTCATCCAGCACCTGGACACCAGCTTCATGGAGGGTGTGCTGTAGTGGGGGCGCCCGGGGACAGGAGGGACGTCCTGCCGCCCTGAGCCAGGCCGAACCCCGCACTCGCTCTCCCGGCAGAGGGGCCAGAATCGCCCGGCCCAGCCCTGCAACCCCCTCCCCTCCCCCAGGCCCCTGGCCCCGGCGCTCCCCACGTCTTCTGCCTGGTCTGAGGGTGCAGCCAGGGCAGAGCAGCGGCTGGGAGGGCGCCTCTGGCCCCCCACCTCACGGCCAGTTCCCGCGGGCACCGCCTCGCCCTCCGCTGGCCCCAGGTCAGCTCCGAGAAAGTGCCTTCAGTGCCTTCAGTGTCCTGGAGCCGAGCGACACTGCCCTCCGTGGGGCCGGGCTGCCTCCCCGTGGCTCCTGCGCGTCCTGGCCTGGGCCTTGCCCAGCCGCCCCCGTCTCCTTCCCTTCCTCCGGTCCTTGTCCTGACCTGCAGCTCTTCCCAGCCCCGGGGGAGCTTCCCGACCTGTCCCGCCGCCTCTCCCTTCCTCGGCCCGTGGTCCCCAGCTGGTGACTGCTCAGGAGTTTGGGGGCTCCAGGGCAGTGGGCCCGGGGTCTGGCAGGCTCTCGGTGGGTGGGGTGGGGGCCCCCAAACCAAAGTCCTCTGGGGTAGGGGGCAGGGCTGGGCAGGCATTCTGGGGGCAGGGTGGGGGAGGGGCGAGAGTATTTTTTCTTCGTGTAACTATAAATCCAGAATCTATCCTGCATCGCAGCCCACCTGTGTATAGAGATATAAATAGAGGGAAAGATATAAGAACTAAATTTGCTAATGACATAGTTTTAACCTAAATGCTATTTATCTCTGAGCCGTCCCTGTCCTCCGTGCAGAGGAAGTTGAGGTCATTCCTTCTTTTCTTCTCCGATCTTTTTTCTTGGCTTCTGACCAAAAACCAAGCTCTACCCCATCCCCGTCCCCGACCTGCAGCTGACGAGCGTGAAGACGCCGCGCCCGGGACTGCCTGTTCTCGAGGCCAGAGCTGCTGGGGGACCGAGTTTGTACATTTTCCATTTTGGGAATTTTGAGTTCCAATTGTTGTAAAACTTAATTTCTCCCCAGTTTTTATATATATATTTTTTAGAGTTCCGTTTTTATTTATTAAAAACAAAAGGCCCAGCCCTGCCGAGGCCCGGGCGGCGTCCTCAGTCGGGTGGCCCCGGGGCCTTTGCGGTCCCGCCCGGCTCAGGCGCTCGCCCAGACGCATGGACCCGAGAGGCGACGACGCGAGTGAATAAAGTGCACATGGACCCTGCGCCGTCTCCTGTTCCTTGTGGGCGCGGCCGGGGGCGGGAAGAGACGCGGGGCCGACCGGAAGGGGCGGGGCTGGGTACGCCGCTCGGAAG